TAGGTTCTTGGACTTGTTTGGAGAAACTAATGGGGGAGGGTTCATCCAGTGTCCCCAAGAAGAATTCTTTGCAACTAAGGTAAAGGTAAAAGGTAAAGGGACCCCTGACCATTAAGGTCCAGTCGTGACTGACTCTGGGTTGCGGTGCTCATCTTGATTTTACTGGCTAAGGGAGCCGGCGTAACAAGCTTTCCGGGTCATGTGGCCAAGCAATGACTAAGCCACTTCTGGCGAACGGGGACCGAGCAACGGGAGCTCACCCTGTCGCAGGGATTCGAACCGCCAATCTTCTGAATCAGCAAGTCCTAGGCTCCCTGTGGTTTAAAACCCACATCGCCACCCGCGTGCCCAGCTTTGCAACTACTGTCTCTAAAAATCCATGTCTCAAATCCAGTGTAGGCTTTCCTTAGGGCAAATGAGGCACTGCCCCCATCACCTCAGTTTGCCTCAGCCAGCCCCTACCTGCCTGGCTTCTTACTTTAAGACCACCAACTTTCTGCTTCCAGCTGAGAATGTGAGAGTTTTGCAGTTTGTGACAGAGATGGCAAGAGAACTGTACCCACTTCCCTCTCAGCGTTCATAGGCTTTGGAGCCAGCAAATGACAGACCTGACACAGCATTGGATTTGCTGAATGCCTTAATCTGATACATAGTTTGTAAAGGTGGGGCTGATTTTGAGCCCTCTTTTTACAGACCCTCCAAGGGAGACTTTTCCAGGACAACCCCCAATTTAGTAAGCCGTCCCAGTTTCTGATTTTGAATCGCAAAATGTCCCACTTTTCCTTAGGATGTTCCTATTTTCATGGGAGAAATAATGGAGTTATCCGACCCTAAGCCGCCTGAACTCAATTCTGTATAGGGAAGTTTTATTAATGTTTTATTTTTTTATTATTTTTTTTAATATTAATACTGGAAGCTCCCAGAAGTGCCTTGGGGCAACCCAGTAAGAGGTGGTGAGGTATAAATAGTAAACATGCATTATGGAATGGGACATCCCTATTTTCATCGGAGAAATTGTTTGGGAGGGTAGTTTTTATATTGCAAATTTTCCCTTGAAGAGTAAAGAGGGCTGCCTTCTTTTCATCACATGATCTTACACCCAGCTGTTCTGCACAGCCAAATATTTCAACCAAACAGGTGTGGGCCCAGTACCCTTAGCACCAATGCACTGATCAACCGAAATTGAACTGAGATTAGAAGCCTGGTCTACCAGCAAAGCGATTGGTGTTTCACATGGATTCCTCCAGGGGATAAGAAGACGATTTTGGTTTCAGTCAAGATTTAATGTGCAAGCTAGACTAGAATGAAAGGGTTAATTTCTCACTATCTCCCTAAGTGCATCTTTCCTTCTCAGGCTTGGCAAGA